CTGGGTGCTTTCCTCCTCCCCCACCCCTCCCGGGCTACCTTGACAGTTATCCCCCTAGTTGTGTGATGAATTAATAAAGAATGCATGAATGTGAAGTAACAATGACTTTATTGCCTCTGCAAGCGGTGTTCGAAGGGGGGAGGGGAAGGTGGTTAGTTTACAGGGAAGTACAGTAAAATGGGTGTGGAGGGGTTCATCAAGGAGAAACAAACAGAAGTTTCACAACGTAGTCTGGCCAGTCACAAAACTGGGTTTCAAAGCTTCTCTGATGTGCACTGCACCCTGCTGTACTCTTCTAACCGTCCTGGTGTCTGGCTGTGCGTAATCAGTGGCGAGGTGATTTGCCTCAATCTCCCACCCCGCCATAAATGTCTCCCCCTTACACTCACAGATATTGTGGAGCGCACAGCAAGCAGCAATAACAATCGGAATATTGGTTTTGCTGAGGTGTAACCGAGTCAGTAAACTGCGCCAGCGCGCTTTGAAACATCCAAATGCACATTCTACCACCATTCTGCACTTGCTCAGCCTATAGTTGAACAGGTCCTGACTACTGTCCAGGCTGCCTGTGTGCGGCTTCATGAGCCATGGCATTAAGGGGTAGGCTGGGTCCCCAAGGATAACTATAGGCATTTCAACATCCTCAACGGTTATTTTCTCGTCCGTGAAGAAATTCCCTTCCTCCAGTTTTTGAAACAGACCAGAGTTCCTGAAGACACAGGCATCATTTACCTTTCCCGGCCACCCCACGTTGATGTTAGTGAAACGTCCCTTGTGATCCACCAGGGCTTCCAGCACCATGGAAAAGTACCCCTTGCGGTTTATGTACTCGGTGGCTTGGTGCTCCGGTGACAAAATAGGGATATGGGTTCCGTCTATCGCCCCACCACAGTTTGGGAAGCCCATTGCAGCAAAGCCATCCACTGTGACCTGCACGTTTCCCAGAGTCACTACCCTTGATAGCAGCAGGTCTTTGATTGTGTTGTCTACTTGGATCACAGCAGCCCCCACAGTAGATTTGCCCACTCCAAATTGATTCTCGACTTACCGGTAGCTGTCTGGCGTTGCAAGCTTCCACAGGGCTATAGCCACTCGCTTCTCAACTGTGAGGGCTGCGCTCATGCTGGTATTTTGGTGCTTCAGGGCAGGGGAAAGCAAGTCACAAAGTTCCATGAAAGTGCCCT